CCCCTGGCCGGGGCCGATCCAGAAGAGAGAGAAAGATCCAGCTGCAGCAAGCCGTGAGCACCCGCACTCTTCTCTTTCCTCCCTCTCTCTCTCTCTCTCTCTCTCTCTCTCTCTCTTCTGTGTGTGCCGAATTTTCCATGAATTCCGTCGATCTCCCAGGTCGATCGGCTGAAGAAGAAGCTCCGCCGCGAGGAGAACATCCACCGCGCCCTCGAGAGAGCCTTCACTCGCCCCCTCGGCTCCCTCCCTCGTCTCCCCCCTTACCTCCCCCCACACGTAACCTATCTCTCTCTCTCTCTCTCTCTCTACCTTTCTCTCTCTATCCTGAGAGCGTCTGAATTGGGTTCTCTATGCTGCCCTCAGACGCTGGAGCTGCTCGCCGAGGTGGCGGTGCTTGAAGAGGAGGTGGTGCGGCTGGAGGAGCAGGTGGTCAGCTTCCGGCAGGGCCTCTACCAGGAGGCCATCTACTTCTCCTCCTCCACCAAGAAGCCTCCCACCGCCGGGAATTCGCCGCCGCCAGTTCCTCCGCTTGCCGCCAGGAAGTCACCGGCGAAGAAACCCATCGGATCGCCGCCAATTCCAGGGCTCCTGCGGGGAAAGGAGAACCAGCTCTCCACTCCCTCCTCCATGAAGAAGGCCTCAAGAGCCCAGACCAGAGGAAGAACAGAGGAATTGGAGTTGTTGGGCCAACAGGCCGCCACCGCCGCCGCTGGCGGCGGTGGCAGCCCCAACAGGGTCTCTGAGGAGCTCGTGAGATGCCTCATGGGGATCTTTTCGGCGAGGAGGAGCAGCTGCTTAAATTCCTCCTCTGCGGTGGCAGCTATGGAAGCGGCGGAGGCGGCCCCCTCCGTCTCCGGGTCCTCCGACAGTCCGGATGAGGGAATATTCCGGGACCCCTATGGAATATTCTCAGAATTCGGGCGGAGGGACGTCGGGCCCTACGAGAGATTCCTCTCTTTGGACGCCCGTTGGCCGAGCGGCTCCCGCCTTGGTGCTGCCGCCTCGCCGTCGCTCTTCCGGCGGCTCAGGTGAGCTCAGTTGATCTGAGTTGACTTTTTTGGATGAAAGCACGATGCCTTCTGATGTGTGAGTAAACCGACGAACAAACAGGCTACTGCTCAGGAAGCTTGGGTCGGTGGATCTACGGGGGTTGACCCACCCGGAGAAGCTCGCCTTCTGGGTCAACGTCTACAATTCCTGCATGATGAACGTGAGTATGATCGTCTCTGGATTCCATCAAACTACCCGATCCAATCCTTCGGTGCTTATTATCCTCCTCGTTTCAGGCCTTCTTGGAGAACGACATCCCCTCCACGCCGCAGATGGTCGTCACCCTGATGCAGAAGGTCAACGCAGAGGGGGGATGGGGGAGAAATATTTAGCTGAAACAGCAATTCTTACAAGATCAGTTAGTAGATTCTTACTAAAACTGGCATTTCAGGCGACGATCAACGTGGGTGGGCGGCAGCTGAGTGCGATCTCGATCGAGCATTTCGTGCTGAGACTCCCTTACCATTCCAGATCTGTAAGCTTTTTCATCAAAACTCAGAGCTTTAGAAGAAGAACAAAAAAAGTCAAACAGGTGAAGGAAAGAAGTCTCCGCCGTGTTCTTGCAGGCCTGCTTTCCCAAATCGGGCAACTTGAAGGCCGATGCAGCCATGCAGAGTATCGGGGGGCTGGACTGGCCGGAGCCCCTGGTCACCTTCGCCCTCTCCTGCGGGAGCTGGTCCTCTCCGGCGGTGAGCCACCGCCCCCTCTCTGCTCTTCATCTGGTCAACGTTTGCAATTTTTAGAACTCAAGGGAGGATTTCTGCTGTTTACCTGATGATTTGATGAGACTTTATGTGGAATCATGCAGTGAATTGCATGATCTGGTTGTGTTTGCCGTCTTAGAACTCTGATCATTCGATGAAATTGTATATTCTTTTTCCTATTTTACGGAAGATTTGGGCTCCTCGGGTTCTAAGCTTTAACTTTCTTTCCTTTGACTACTGGGCTTATCTTTCCATTTCAGGTAAGAGTTTACACGGCCTCCAAGGTCGAGGATGAGCTCGAGGTGGCCAAGAGGGACTATCTGCAGGCGGCAGTCGGCATCTCCACCGCCGGCGGCGGGATGGGCATCCCGAAGCTTCTGGATTGGTACCTGTTGGACTTTGCCAAGGACGTTGATTCCCTGATGGACTGGGTCTGCCTGCAGCTGCCAAGTGGCCTCAGGAACGATGCCGTCAACTGCCTTGAAACCGGGAGGAGCGGGAGGGCCGCCGTTGACTTAATACGGGTCATCCCCTATGACTTCACCTTCAGGTACCTTCTGGCCACCTGAGAGACTGCTTCCCATGATTTTGGAAAAATCCCAAGGGTTGACCAAAATGGTCTGCAAACGGCTCCGCATTTATGGAAAAATGATTGAAAAAGAAAGTCAATTTCTCCGCGCAATTCATCTTCCTCCCTCTGACTCCTGCTTCGTCAAAGTTGCCATTTTTAGCTCATCTCAGCTGTGGTTATTCACCATGAAACTTTATCTAGATAATTAAATCCATAATCTCTTTCAGTTCATGAAAATCCTGGATAATCAGCTGATCCTTTTATGGAAATACCGTGGGAATATTTATAAAAATAAATCGTAAATTGCAGGTCAGTGAGCATTCTTATGGTTTTAAAAAAGATAAAAAATGAAGAAATTGGGCTTTTGTTTTCTTTTTTGGGGAATTAGTTTCTCCTACTATTTAACAGGTCGGGGGCAGCTGTGGGTCTGTGAGAGCATTCGAGCTGCCATTCATCGGCTCCTGGTGATATTTCCCATTCTGATAGTTTTATTTAATACCATAAATGGATCCATTTCCAGATCAGCATGCTAGAAATGGATCCATGTCCACGTCAGCATATCCAGGTCAGCTCTACTTGGGTTTTGGGCGGTGAAGTTGACGTGGGCAGGCGGTTCAGGCAGTGGCCTTCCTGATGCTGCCCACGTGACTTTAACGAAGAAAAAGCTGTTAAAATAGTTGCTTCAATAATTACTGTCGCTGGAATGGCTTTCCACAGTATGCATTCCTCATGGGTGCCTTCAGTTAACGGCTCTGGAGAGAGAGGGAGAGAGAGAGAGAGGAGAGAGAGAGAGAGGGAGCGAGAGAGAGAGAGAGAGAGAGCGAGGGAGGGAGAGAGAGAGAGAGAGAGAGAGAGAGAGAGAGAGAGAGGGAGAAGGAGATGAGAGAGAGAGAGGGAGAGAGAGGGAGAGGAGAGAGGGAGGAGAGAGAAGAGAGAGGAGAGGAGAGGAGAGAGAGAGAGAGAGAAGGAGAGAAGGAGAGAGAGAGGGAGAGAGAGAGAGAGAGAGAGAGGAGAGGAGAGAGAGAAAGAGAGAGAGAGAGAGAGAGAGAGAGAGAGGGAGGGAGAGGAGAGGGAGAGAGAGAGAGAGGGAGAGGAGAGAGAGAGACGGAGAGAGGGAGAGGGAGAGACGGAGAGCGGGAGAGAGAGAGAGAGAGAGAGAGAGAGAGAGAGGAGAGAGAGAGAGAGTGAGAGAGAGAGAGAGAGAGAGAGAGAGAGAGAGAGAGAGAGAGAGAGAGAGAGAGAGACGGAGAGAGGGAGAGGAGAGAGGAGAGCGAGAGAGAGAGAGAGAGAGGAGAGAGAGAGAGAGAGAGAGAGAGAGGGAGAGAGAGAGAGAGACGGAGAGAGGGAGAGGGAGAGACGGAGAGCGGGAGAGAGAGAGAGAGAGAGAGAGAGAGGGAGAGAGAGAGAGAAAGAGAGAGAGAGAGAGAGAGAGAGAGAGAGAGAGAGAGAGAGAGAGAGAGAGAGAGAGAGAGAGAGAGAGGGAGAGACATAGAGAGGGGGAGAGAGAGAGAGAGAGAGAGAGTGAGAGTGAGCTCTTTCCAGGAATGTATTCATGAATGAACAGTTTCCTTCTTCTCTGAACTGATCCTGTTTCTCCGAGGCTTTAAAAGAATTCCATTTTGATGATGCCAGAGCTTGTTCTTATACAGACTGCATTCCCTTAATGCATTCATTACTTGGCCCCGGGGCCCGTCTGGCCCGTTGACTCTGCTGCTTGGACTTTCCAGTTTCTATTTTAGGAAAGGTAGCATTGACGACAGCTCTCCCTGCAGAATGTATTCCTTTAAATGCATTCGTGAGGCCCTCTACCGGGTTCTCTCGTTTTGTTTTCTCTCTTCCCATTTTAATCATCTTATTTATTGCCGAGGAGATGAGAAAAGAGTAACAATTGGTTGGTTGTTGAGAGATCCGCCAGCGTTTGGGGGGCGCGTCGCCCGTCTGACAGCTTGACTTCCACGGCGGAGCCCGACAAGAAATCCGAGAGGCTTTTACAGCCCCCCCCGCCCGATCGTTCTCTCTCCTTCTAGAGAGAGAGAGAGAGAGATGGGTAGAAAGAGTGTGGGATGGATATCAAAAGGTAGTGAGGGAGAGGGATGGGTAGAAAGAGAGAGAGAGAGAGAGACAGATGGTTCGAGAGAGTATAGGAAGAAATGGGTATCAAGAGAGAGGAGGATGGGTAGATAAGTAGAGTGTGTGAGATGCGTAGAGAGAGAGAGAGAGAGAGGGAGAGTGGGGAGTGAAGAGACCCAGCTTGTGTTGATAGCTGTAGTGAGGAGTCCAAGTTCCGCCTTTTCTTTTGTCCGCAAGTCGTGCCAATTCATCCCGGGGACCACCCTACGGAGCTGCCAGAGATGTGGGTCCACTCCCATGTCAGCAATGACGGCACCAGCCTGTACTGTGACCACGTAAGAGATAGAAAGAGAGAGTGAGCCAAGAAGGGCAAAGATCACTTGGGGCCATTTAAGAGAGAGATCGATAGATATATAGAGAGAGAGAGAGAGAGAGTCTTTATCCAAATTGGGCCCGATTCTGCAAAAGAAAACGGCCCATTTTCAGCTTTAAGAGGGAGAGTCTGACAATTTTTTTCAGAGATATTTTTTTTGAAATTCCACCCGACTAGAAAATAAAGTTCACCAAAAAAAGGTGTCCACGTGCGGTCATGGAGTTTTATGCCCAAGCCACCGTGGAAGTCACGTGCGAGTGCTTTGTCACACGTGGTGGACTGCTGGCTGTCACGTGGTCATCTGCGTCCCTTTCACGCATGGAATCCAGCCGCCGAGATCGATAGATCACGTGAGCACCTACATCTTAAATATTAGCTAGCAATTGCGGAGATGATTAATAGATATTATATATGTATTTAATAATATACACAAATTAGAGGTCTGAAGGGATATTGGCTTCGATGGGAGAGGGTCTGGGGTCAACATTCCACCGGTCAAAGTCAAGATTCGACTGGGCCGGGAGAAAAGCCCATTGGGCCTCAGCACTCGTGGACTTGGGTCTGATGGTTCAGAGACCATCCAGAACTAGAGAGAGGGAGTTGGAGAGAGAGATGGAGATGGACTATAATTTTTTGTTTTTTTTACTCCATTCTAATTCACTTATGGTTCCGATCTCATCGATCAAACAAACAGTTTGGGCAGAGGAAGAGGGTTTGAAGCACCAACCATTGACTTTTAGGGGTTGACAGCCGCAAATTGATAGTGGCCAGTTCTTCCGGAGAGAGAGAGAGAGAGAGAGAGAGAGAGAGAGAGAGAGAGGCATTTAAAAACCTTGCCCCCCCGAAAAAAAAAAGGGATAATTTTTCTTGATGTCTAAACTCTTCTGCCCGGAATTGTTGGGAAATCGAATGCTGTAGAAGACTAACAAGACCAGCAGACAACAGAATGAGAACCAGATAAACAAAACAAAAAAGAAGAAGAAAAAAACACCCCCTGATCATGGATTCTGACTGATGGCCAGATCAACAAAAAAAAAAAAAAAAAAAAAACAAAAATAATCTGGTTTCTTCCTGCCAGAAAAAAAAAAGAACAGATTTCTGCAGATACATACACACAATAAAGAAGGAAGGACTGGATGGATCATCAATAGGAAAAATCAACCAAACGGATTGGCGGTGGTGGGGCCGCCGGCGGTGGCGGCATCCGACCTCTTGATACTTCCCATGCCACAGACGACGCAGCCGGGGGAATTGAGAGCAGAGAATCTGGCGCCACAGACATCGCAGTGATCATGGCCGATGGTGGGGAGGCGGCCGAGTGTGGCGAAGCAGAAGAGAGAAGGGTCTTCCACGGGGTCAATGGACTTGTTGGAGGAGCCCCTCTGCACACACATGTCGACGAGGCTCCTCAGCTCGTCCTGCTTCTCCGGGGGCGCCTTTGAGTGGAGCAGCTCCAGCATCTGCTTGGCATAGGCGTAATTCTGCACCTCCATGTTCCGCTTGATGGCTGTTCTGATGCAGTTTATGCGGTGCTTTGCTTGCAGAGGGAGAGACGCCAGATGCCGTGACAGGCGGGCCATCTCGTCCTTGGCACTGACCGCCGCTGCGCCCTGGACCTTCTGCAGCCGCCCGATTTCCTGCGCTCATTGCACCACCATAGATTTTATGAATGCTTGTAGATGCATGTGAATAGGTTATCTTCTTCTTTTAATGCTTACGAAAATTCGGATTATATGAATAATATAGCATCGATAATGAATGCATGTGAAAAGGTGATCTTCTTCTTCTTCTTATCTTTTTTTTTTATATTTTTTTATACTTTTGATGGAGAAGAGAACCTGGAGAAGGGAGACGGCGATCTTGTATTGGGCGCAAATTGTGGCTTGAGCTCTGATGTCGGCGCCACGGGACTGGTCCTTGGCCAGAGCCAGGAAGGCCTCGTCAAAGCATGACAGTGCATCGCTCAGCTGGTTCTGCTCGAGATGGGCAATCCCGGTCTTGAAGCAGACTGGAGCGGCAGCTCCACGGGGAACCTGGAGTGATTAAATCATAATCATATTAATATTTATTATCTGAGTTAAACTTGATGGTGCATAAAATTCACCAGAAATGGCAATGCGAATTGATGGGTACTTGCCTGGCCAGGTAAGACTGCCTTCGGAGCAGGTGCAGGGCGGGCAGCAGCTGACCCGGGAGCCATCAGCGTGCTTAGATCAACCGGCTGAGAAGAGACTGGTGGCTGGGCGGTCAATGGTGGAGGCTGCGATATCTGGGCTGGTGGCTGTGGTGGCACACCGCTACCAGGCAGTCCAATGGAGTCGAGGGAAGCAGAAGGCTGCTGCTGTTGTTGTTGTTGTTGTTGTTGTTGTTGTTGTTGTTGCTGTTGTGCTGTCGGAGGAACCCCACCGTCTGGGAGACCGATATCAACCGACGGGTTGGGGGCATAATTGGGTTCCTTTGGACCAGCTCTGCCTCTGCTCGGTCCCTGCGGGTTCTGCTCGGACCTTGACATCAATATGCCGGGAGGTGGCAGGGAGGCGCCAAGCTTGACGGACGATATGGTGTTCTCGAAGAAGTCTTCTGGGATCGGCCCTGCTACCACTCCGAGGCCCCCCACCGCCGGACCGGCCGATGCAGGCTCCATGGAGATGCCACCAAAGAGGTCAGGAACAGGAGCTGTGGCGGTTGAAGTAGCGGCTGGGGCTGGCAGTAGCATCAGAGACGATAGGTCCTGGGATGGCCCAGATAAAGACCTGGTCCTGGAGGGTGGAGCCATGCCGTCGCCCAGCTTGAGCTGCTTGGTGGCCTCCTTGATCTTGTTGAAATCAACGACGGTTGGCTCAATGGGTTTGTCTCGGATTCTGATGTGGATCTTCTTGGTCTTAGAAGCGGCCTCGTCTTCATCGCTGCTGCCGCCATCGGCAGTGCCATAGAGGGACTTCTTGAACTCCTCCGCCGCTCTTGCCTGCTCATCCACTGCACCTGAAGGGGCAGCCAGCTGGCTGCTCAGGGATGTCACAGGGAAGCTGCCCTTTGAGTCGCCGGCCGCCAGAACTTTGGTCTTGTTGGGTAACGATAATGGCGGCCTGGGCAGCCCGTTTTCTGCATTCTCTCCCGCAATGAAAGGTTTGACCAGGCTCTTCTCGCTGACTTCTGTGACATGGCCCCTGCCCTTGACGACACCGAGGTAAATTCCAATGTGGTCAACGATGATTGAAGGGATGGCGTTCTCGCTGGTCTTCATGTAGGGCATGACCTCTGCAGCGAGCTCCCACTGGGGGATGTCCTTGAGATTGACGGGGGTCTTGATCTCCCAGTTTCCTCCTCCCCACTCTGGCCCTTTGGGGACCATGCTCTCCGCAGCGAAATTGGCAAAGATGCCCTGAGTCCACCCACTGGAGCGGACCCTCAGGATCCTCTCGCAGTGCCGCCGGAGCTCGGAGTCGGTGCCTGCATCCTCCAGCTTCCGGGCAAGGTGCCGCATGGCGCTAGGGTTTAAGTGGCATATGAACAAGTCGAGCATGCTCTCGTTGTCTGCGATTACTTCGAAGGTTTCTTTTGCACTGTCAAACTGGCCATACCTGCAAGCGGCAGCCCAAGTCAAAGCTCTGAAAGAAAGGGTGAAAGTCATGTGGACAGAAGAAACCAATATCTGAACATGAGTAAAATGGAAGAGCGAGAAGATGTAAATTTCTGTAGACTACTGATGAATGGGTGCCTGTTGATCATTCTGGAAAATGTCATTGTAGGTTGTGGGCATCAAACAAATTTCATCGTTGCAGTGAACGTCTGCTGTCAATGATATGGTGGTTTATCGAGCTCCCATCAACATATTCCATGGTTTGGGTGAAACATCCACTTACCCAGATCCACAGCCCGGATCTTGTTGGTCCTTTCGGGACCTGAAGCGAATGGATGGATCCCACAAACTATAGTCAGTGGGCCCAGATAATCTGACCAGATTCAAGGATAACCAGTTCCAGAGGTCAAACCAGCAGCTTCTCTGTCAGCGGGGAAGCTCCAGATGAAGCTGATGGGTACTCGAAAGCAAGACACTCTCCATCAACAAGAGGCCAACATCTCGTTCTAATCACCAGTGACTATACACGTCAAAAGAGCTCCAAATAAACAAGGGAGGCTGAAGAATTCTAGGAGGCTCTGGACGCAGGTTTGAAGACAGTAACGGACTGCAAGTAAGATCGGACTTTAACAACACTATCTAACAGAATGGCACCAGTATATGGCAATTAAAAAAGCAGAGAAATGAATGCCATAAATTTTTATGTGTTTAAGAACAGGCCTCTCCCTCTTTCATTAACTTATAATCACAATCATTGCAGAGCATATGCATATCATTTCACATTACTCCATTTATTTTATTTTCATGGAGAGAATGTGCATCATAAGGTTAGGAGATCTAATAAGCAATTCTTACAAAAGGATGATTACCTGTAACCACTACATAATGAGTTATTATTCCCAAGGAAGTGTACCGTAAAAAAAAAGTTCAGGGTATGCTGGATAATCGATCGAAAATAGGATTTTGCATTAGATTAACGTACTTGATGGATGCATAGCCAAGTTGTCGAAAGCGGTGAAACAAATGAGAAGTTGGAGGGCACTGGGGGTAATCCCTTGAACGCAGGAACTCATCCTTCAAGATGGACAAAGCAGTGGAAAAGCGGAGAGCCTTGATTGCATAAATGCACCGAAGTACCTAGGAAAGTTCACAACACAAATCAAAAGGTCTATTAAAAAAATTCTGCTGAAAGATGCATAAGATACAACCTGAAAAATACCTGAGTGAACTGCGGACCAGCCTGGGATAAAGAGACAGCTAGGTCCCCACAGACAGGAGAGCCCTTGGCCAGAATATCAAGAGATCTTGGAGTGATCCGTAAGCTATCAAATCTTCATTCAAGAAATGAGAAAAGGAAGTTATTCAGAAGAAATATGATGGGATAAACTACGCACAAGTTTTTCAAGCTTATAGAGACCCGTTTTCCAAAGCAGGTTATCTAAACTTTTTCAGAATAACATAAAGGGGATAAAAACAAAAGAATGAACCAAACTGAGAAGGATAACACCTTGACGTTATCTGGTATAATATCTCAGGTAGGTCAACTTTCTGCTCAAACTGTTGTTGCATGGTCGCAAATCCAATGAGAAGAGGCTCAAGAAGGCCCACAAGACAACTCCGGATCTCGACTCCTTTCTTTCGTCTAGGATTTATATCAACTGGGTTGACGAACAATAGTCTATCGTTCAATGCACCAAGTAATGCTGTATTGGGCAAGGCAAGACAAATAGCAAACAAGCAAAATCCATGTTAACCGAAAGATATTTTAACTGGTATAAAAAATGGTTGTCATAAGTGGCTCGGAAGATCAAAGAAGCACACACCAGAACAAGGCATACTAATGGAGAGAATCGTTCGAACTTTGCTATCCCATCCAAGCATGCTTACTGCAGTTGCGCTTGAAAATAGAAGAGCAGGTCCAACCCACAAAAATGATCGGAAGTGCAGAGAAGTTAAGAAAGTAAACAACGGGATCACTAGGAAAATCTATAAAAAAAACTGAACGTTGTGTTAAGGACATATGGTAGGATATGGAAGGGACTCCTTTGTCAAGTTGAGAAGAGCTGCTAGAAAGTATGTCTAGATCCTTTGAAGCAATCAACACCCTCTGACTGGTCAATATCCCAGCAACATGACCTCTAAGGGTTTCCTGCCACTGAACCTGTAAAAGAACGCCAGAGGATTTGAATAAATGACGTTTTATAACATTAAGATGACATCAAATGCGATTCAAGAAAAACAATTTGCACCATTGTTCAAACAATCAGTCTGGATATGTAAAGTGTGAACCACAGATAGATTTATGATAACCTCATAAACAATCAAAGATCAATCCAACTTTTTCCAAAGCTAATACACGAATAATGAGAATATGCTGCCTACTTCACGACATAACTACTTACCTGAAGGACAGTTTCTTTTGCTTTCAACTTGATTGACTTTATCCCTTCAGTTTTTGTAGGTATATATTGCCCACCATCATTAGACAAATGATACGGTTGAAGCAGATTTGCCATTCCAATGTAATCCCCAGAAATAGCATACAAAATGGTAGACTCTACAAAAGCAACCACATGACCACTAGAATTTAGTAAAGTCCAACGAAACTAAGCATCCAGACTGCTTAATGGGCTAAATATGGCCTGAAAGCAAGGAATAAGGTTGCTGTTTGCTCTACCTAGCGGTGTAGAAAAGATGCGGTCAATATCTGATTCAAAAACAAACTGTAAAGGACCACGGCCGCTGCCAGCTTTAGCTTCAGAAAACGAATTAGCATCTAGTGCTCCATTCTTCCCTGCAGATTCTTCCACAGAAGCAGATGGTAAAAGATATAAAGCTAGGCCAGTCTTATCCTCATCGAGAATTGCATATTGATTCTCATTGGGGCCCACAAATGCTGCATCTCTTCCTACATAGTAAGGGAAATAAGTGAGCACAGGGTGAATAAGAAAAAGGGTATGAGGGTCTAGAATACAACTGTCACAGAGATAAAATGTTCACACCTTTGACTGTACTTCCTTTATTCGTAATTGCCTGAGCGTCAGTCTGTTCCCAATAAAGAATAGCTTCATGGAATGAGCTGCTGATGCCACATACTCGGTAGACTATTATAAACAAGTGCTGCTTTGAACTGTACAGCATAGTTTTTGGGTGGCAATCGATATTTCCAGGAATCTGAAAAGTAGCAATAAGTAAAATGAAAAAAAACCTTGAATTGAATCATATAGATTAGGGAAATTTTGCTAAAAGACTTTGAAAGTGGGTTAGAGAACTACCGATGAGTAAAGTTTCTTGTATAAATTATCCACGCCTGATGAGAGGTTATAAGACATGATGTTCACACCATCCAAATAAAATGCTCGGACAGGGTAATGAAGAACTCGGTTCTCCTTGTTAAAAAAATTGAGCTCCAAGTGAAATGGCTGAAGAGATAAACCTGACAGCCGTTAAAGGGCAGCCTCCACAAGAGTTCAATAATATAAACGAATATGTTCATAGAATACCTGACAAACAGGGATATCCTTCAGTTGATGATCATTGTCTGAGATAGTGATGAGAGGCAGCCGAGTTATAGGTGCGTTCTTTGCATGCCCTTCCATGAAATGCTACAGTATGAACAGACATGACAAGATACATTCAAGAAAACACAAAATTCAGTCGAATGCATAAGAACAAATTGCAAGTAAAATCACAGCTGATTAAAGGTATAAATTCCATTGTATTTATAACTGCTATAACGGGTTAGAGCACATGATACGTGGTACAGAGAAATACCAATATGGTTGGGAATTCACCCGAGTATACTATTACTGATTATATGGCATTTCAGGCATCAATTCAGTAGAAGAAGATAATGCTCTCTGTAGTTAATTTGCTATCAGAAGAAATTCTCTGTATCAATCATATAAACATGTAGTCATGAGGAATCCCGAACAGTAAGCTTTTCTGTCAGCACAAAAATGTTGCCAATGAGAGGTTAAGGTACATGTGACTCATCTCACTTGACTTTGGATATAAATTACGTTCAGTTTCTCAATAATACCAATGACAAAAGCACAGCAGCAGATTAGATGCGTACTGGATATAGCAGCCTCAATCGTCTGCATTATGATGTATACTACTTCCCAGAACAAAGTAAGCAGTGTGAGACAGAAAAATCACATATAAAACAAGTAATGTCAATTACATGTCTTCAGACAGGTGATGAGGAGCTCAGAGAGATAAAACCTCAATGTGAAGGGTGGTATGGATACACTTGATCCCTCTGTTCACTAAATTGCATTCAGTCAGATTAACGATTCTAAGAAAACACAAAAATGAACTTCAGGCTTGTAACAATAGTGCGTCAATCTACCTCATCTTGACCCGATATTTATTTAGACATCCGGGATGATGAACATACGTAGCAGGCATCGTTCATATCATCAGGGCAACTATCACATGAATGCATGCTAAATCATCTTTTACTCCTGGGGAATAAATATTTTGATGAGGGCTTCCATTTTAAATTTTGCTTGTTTAAAATAAGAATTTGATTTCCCAAGATCCACTTGAAAAATCTCATTGCAGGCGAAATAAAACATAGTTAAGAGAGGAGCATACGCTATGAAGAAACGCTTTCCTTGCAATATCTGATATAGTAAGCTGACTTTGTCTGAAAAATGAAAAATAATAGAAAATAATCAAATCTTCCTTTAAAATATATTTTACAGGAATAATAATAACAGGCAAAAGAGAGAAAACTAAGAGATATAAGAATAATCATCATCACCAACCAAAGATCCCTTAATCCACATTCCGTTCTGTTATCTACAAAAATAACATTATCCATACCTATAGAAAACATGATCACTGGAGAACAGAAGATTCAGAATAAACAATAATTCTGAACTAATATGAATATTAAGGAAAACAAAAAGAGGCAAAGGGTTTCACACCGGAATGACAATATACAACCATTTACAGTTCCGAAATTTTTATGTGCAAGTGAAAAACTACAGTTATTACGAAGGAGAAGCATGAGACAATTATAGATACAGACTTATCTTTGTGAACATTCCGTGGTCCGCATTTGGCGCAGAAAAGGATATTAAAAAAGCTATTATCACTGAATTATCTTTGGCCCTTGTCCAAGTTTGATAATTAGAAGCTTCAGCTTGACCGTCTGTTCTTATTCCACAAAATTGAGGCACCCAATTTTTATCAGCTGTTAAATAATGAATGTTGGAAAAGTCTTTTACAATCATGTTATTTGTGGTCTTCAGACATGTAGCACAACTAGAAGAGGTCAACTTAGCCATCTGGTTACTTGACACGAAGAACCGGCTAAACTGGATTGGAGGCAATCGGAACCAGCCAATAAAGATTATAACTGACTAGAACCAGTTAGACGCACTCGTTTCTCAACCCAAACCCAGAAACAGAGGCATTCAGCCGCAGTATGCTTCTAATTTTCCGATTCGACCCTAACGGCAAAGTATTTGCCAGGAATGCCTGAACATGGGGACTAATGCACATACAGTGCTGTTTATACGAAATAAAGACCACCCAGAAGCAAAAAATATAGCTCTTCATGCTGTGGGTCATCGAAATGGATCAGATTCCAGTATTGGTTGGATCTGATCTGATCCAAATTGGGGCAGAATCAGAATGATTTCAGGAATGAATGATAAAATTAAGAATAAATAAGTAAAATATCAATATATAATAAAAATATGGAAACAAATAACGTTTTCCAGAAAAAAAAAGAAAAATTACGAATTAATATTTGTTTTCTGATCTCCAGTAACAAAAGGCTCAGGGGATAGGAACACTAGAAAAGAAAAAAACGGGAACAAATTCTGAATTCGGATTCAGGGCGTCATGGGACAGTTTGGCCAAGACCAGATAATTTAACAAAGAAGCAGCTGATTCAATACTGCATCTAATTTTAGTTTCGTTTTCCTACTTTTACTTAGGAAAACCTAGCCAGCAATAGATAATTCTTACAAGAAACAGTTGATTCTACAATATATGATTTATTCGTGTTAATAGAAAGAGGCCACGCAATCAAAATATTGCATGGAATAGCACATTAAGCAGTTTTTTCATTTCTGGACCGTCATTTAGCAACCCTCAAAAGATTTGCACGACTTTACACATGATAAAGAGTAGCAAAGATGACGGTTTCAAATAAGATACGTTAGAAAACACTGCAGATATTGGTCTAAATTATGTATTGGCATTTCAATCAGCAAATAAACATTTCAATCAAGCCAGGTCAACAAAAAACCAAGGAGTGCAGAAATCTCATATTTATGATTGAGATTTCAATTATTTTGTTCATGTAACTTCTACAGATGTGGTGAACCAGGAAAAACAACGCAGATGGCCTTCCTAGGAATCGATAATCACTTATTATCATTTATCGCACAAATGATTGCCCTTGACTAATAAACTCATGTTAACCACCTACTCAGCGGTACATCTCCAGCACAGAGATAAGAAGATCACATAAATCAAATTGAATTTAAGTAAGAAAAAATACAACATGGAACCAAAGCTTCAGCTATAACCCTTATCCATTATATATAAGACACTGATTGAAAATATTCACTCCATGTATAATTCTATAAATAAATAAAAAATATTTAAAAATAGTGCTTGAATAGTGAAATAGTTCTTAAAATTAAGAGTCTTGAATAATAAACTGTTCATCAAATATTGATATATTGCTGTTTACAAATTTTAATTTAAGCCGGGACTGATGCCAACCTACCCTTTTAAGAGATGCTCTTGCAACTGCGTCTGAAGTTGATGGTCAGCCAATATCCCTGAAGAGCCTAGAGATGAAAGCTTCTCCTTCAGAACCGCAGCTGAAAGGTAACAGCACAGGTTATATGTATGCATAGTAAACAAATAAGACAGTTCGACTTCATCGCAGCAATATCAAAACGGGCACTATAACGTACATTAAACAGATTCAGACTTACAATGAGGAAAAACCACTAAAGTTGGCCATAAGCCATAAAGACGAAAATCCGTAAACCCATTCAATATTTCTATTTTCAAATTACTAAAAATTCGTAACTCTGATCAGTAAAATCATCATATTATGAGCTCTGACCATCAAAGCATTTCTCCTCGCTACCAGAAGCTATGAACCAAGAACAAGAACGATCCCATCTCATCCACACTCTCATTTCAGTCCTCGTTTAGTTTTCCTGAGAATTAACTTTTAGACCAATAATCCTTAATCCCCATGGGAGTACACTTGCATCTCAATAAAAATTATCCAGGTTAAAATGCCCTGAAATGACGCTGTAAAAGCAGCTAAGATCCATTTGAAGGAGAAAAACAATTAGGATATATCAGTCTCCGCGGCAGTGGTTGCCATCTGTATCAGGGACATTCATGAAAGCCTTGGGTTCATCTAGTTAGTGCAAAATGATGATAGGGCATTGACGGATCAGCATCCTAGGAAAAAGAGTTCCCAACTCACCTGTGGATCCTCTTGCATTTTGAAGAACTGAGAAGAGCTGTTTCCTCCCCTCCCTAGTGAATCCACCCCAATTTTTCAAATTGTCTCCACTAGCAATATCCTATTATAGACGAAAGATAAAAAGTTACTTAAAGCAAAAATTTATTACGCAACTACAGAAATTATACTGCATTTAGTTTCACTTAACCACAAACAAAAGTGCCGCTAAATTCAACTTTGGATGAATAGCCAAGCTTTTGATTCGAGGTAAAGGGTAAATAGCTCCTCCATCGTCAAAAGATAAAATTTTTGTAATGTCAATCGATTCAACTGCTGCAAAAGGAAAGTGAAAACGTATGTAAGAGCAAGTGGCACGTCGGGTAAACAATAAAAGAGACAATGAAATTCAAATGCATGTTAAAAGCCGTAGAGTTGATCCATTTTCTGATCAAGACATAAAAACAGATGTAGAATACAGAATGCAGAAACGCCACATATGTTCATAAACCGATGTACATAAACAATAAATTTCAATATAGACAGTGCAATAGTCCACCACAAAAATCAGATCCTCCATACGAGTTTTCCAAGGGATCTGATTAAACAAAAGAAGAAAAACGACATGTGCTTGTGCATCATATCCATTCATTACTTAAGACAGCCGTCAAAATCGTAATGCTTCAGCCAACCTTCCTACACTTGAGTCTCTTCTTAGGAAAGCTCCAAGTAACCAGCTATCCACTATGCACATTGCCCAATCTTCCATCCTACTAATGCCAATTCAATTGAAATAAATTTTAGCCACAATAATTTTCCATCGCATTGATCTTGCAGCTCTACCTTCACAAAATTTATTCTCTAGACGCATTCTGCTACTCTTTCTGAAGAAACTCTCTCTAGAATCACTCCTATATAATTGTATAACCTGTTCTGCTAAAGGTGCAACTTGGATCTGAGCAAAAAATCTTTGGAGAGGGTTTTACTGCAGACCCAACTGCCTTTAACCATTTTCTAAGGCACTCTCCTTAAAATATCATCTGCTATCCAGAAATGACATTTTTTAGCATCAAACCATATCCTATATGGGAGTCCTCTTTACCAGTTGCAGACCTTGTTTATAAAAGCCATGAACTACCAAATACACCTTATACCAGGGCAAGCCTCTGATACGACCACAACACAATATATTTAGGGTAGGAGAGGAAAAGAGTCAAAGTCCTGGGTCTAAGGGGGATTTTAGCAAATGTCCAGGAGGATTTGGGACAAGGTTCTTGAGAGAAGGAAAGGAGATTCTAGTCTTTTGAGGTTCAGGGGGAGAGCAGCAGCGTTCTCGAATGGTAACCAAACAGCTAGGGTTCTGGTGGAGCCCTGTTTATTATTCTCTATCAACTTTCTATTTCTATGCCTTTGTTGAGTCGATTTTCTGCTTCATCTATTGCAGGAAATCCGGAATCGTATCAGCCTCTTCCAATTATTCTTCGTGACTTTGTGGGTGATAATCGACTGTAGCCCTCTGGACCTTGACAATCGGATCAAAAAATGTTGCAGGCTTCAGCTTATCCTTTCTACCTGAGAAACGTTTTTGGTGCAATTATAGGCAACCTTACGGCATCCAGATCCAGCATCAAGATCGAAATTTCTGCATCCCAACCTATTTAGCTGTTCTGCACCAGAACTTAGAGCCGTGTAGTGATCACCTCAAAACAACATATTGACATCAATCGTGCACGATCCCAACAATGCTCCACATAGTTAGATATTTTGAACTAGGAAAAAGCTATATGCACGTGTGAATAACCACCTAAGTCAATAACGTTTTTAAATGAATCAATTAAATTTCAAGCCTACTTAAACTCATTGAACTTTAAATTATAGGAATTGTAGAATCAAAAGACACAAGGGACTCCCCCCAGAGATGATGTCACCCATTTCTCCATCTAACATAACGGCTTAAAAAAATAATAATGTCACACATTTATCTCTAGATGCACTCCTTCTGCACCTAATTATTTCGTAATCAAAACCCACAGAGGAGGACACCACATCACAAAGTAGGTCCAACTATCAAAATCCTTCCGCAGGAAACTGCACAAACCCAGAAACAGCGTTTCCCTGATGCAGGCACATGTTCCCCATCATTCTCTCATACATCTTCCTTGACTGCTCAAATACCAAGAACACACCCCGAGTACAAAATGGGCCCAGAAGACAGAACAAGAATAAACCGCATAAGTTGGATCTTAAGAAAAAAGATTTGTGAGTTTGTACATGGTTGAAGTATCATACGCTACTTGGTTTGTGTTATTCAGCAAAAACATGTCATTTATAAGGTCAACAAATAAAACATCTCTGATAATTCACAGATCCCATAACTGGTCCACAGAGGAATAGAGTCGCACAAACACGTTATTTTGAGTACCATTAGGAGCGAGCAATGAGAGACTTAGAAAAATAGAAATAGTTTTGATATATTTAGGTTTAAGTAGAGCTTTCTAGACTGAAGGAGAACCCAGAATTTCAGAGCACACTACTCTGGCAGGCTCCTTCATTAACTATTTTCAATAAATTTATGAAGAGTACGAGCTATAACGGACGGCCAAATTTATGTTTCTTATGTCAGTTTGCAAAACGAAAATAACGAAGAGCCTGAGTATACTGAAGGCGGATGATGAGAATTTCTACATTTTACATCAATATGGAAGAGATTGGGGACGTTTGGAGATGAAGATCCCTTAATTGGATCAGTTCAAGAACAAAACTGATGTGACGTATTGAAACAGAAAAGTTAAGAAAGTGGATAGGACTATTCTGACTGAATGGGAAGGAACCGACAAACAACATGATAAAGTTTCAAAATACCAGAACGATCCACGCCAATCTTCACCTCTGGGAAAATATAAGGGTGCCTTTCTATAATTCAAAGCAAATATAGGATTATGGTGGCGATAATAGCCGCCATATTCTAAGAGTGTGAGACCTGTAGCACTTTTGTTTTACCTTGCCTCTTTTCACTATCTTGCTTACCACATTAAATAACAACAAAATGGCACATCAAACTATTCATATACAAAACTTAAGTAAAGATACACTATAACATGTCCGAAATAAATAATACGCCATGCTCGTTTATTTATTTTAGTAGCACGAGTACCATCTTATTTCTTGGTATTTGACAAAAAGAAACCAAAGGACGAATTTTAATGACTTAAAGTAGAAGAAAACAAACCTGCACGCTCAAAGAAGTTGGCCAACATTGGTTGCTTATTTGGATTTGTTAAAACACGAGTTTTCCAAACTTGAAGTCCCCCATCCCTTGACACAGTGACAAGAAACGAAAGAACTGGCATCCAAGAGATGGATGTTATTGGGTGGGAACCAACTTGAGTTCTGAAATCACAACAAAAAGTAGGAATCAAACCACTCAGAAGACAGAATGGCATAAATTTATTTGAAAGGGTAAAAATCCTTCTTTTGAAGTAAAGAAAACCTCATCCTCAACCTTGATTCCCTACAAAGTAAGACTAAGAAAATTTCTGAAAGATGAAAGGAAAAAAGTCAAAACTTCACAAACAGATTACTGGGATTGCTCCCATTGGAACATAATGAGATTCATTGGCCTTAAGTCAAACTCTCCACTTCTTGCATCAAAACTGTTACATAAAAAATCACTTGCATGCTTTTCAGCCAATTGAATTTGAAGCATTCACTAATTAACGGTCAAATAATTTGTATTAAACAATTAAGAGGCAAAGATGCATGTGAACTTCAGAAAATCATTCAATACTAGATTAAATAGTAAGTAATAACGGTCCATTTACTGAAATATTTACTTACATTCCAATCATGTTTGGCCTTTCAGTAGAAACATCCCATGCCAAAAGTGCACCACTTCTGTCACCAACAAAAACCCACTCCAATGTTGGATGAAAAGCAAAAGCACCCGCACCAATGAGCTTGATTGTATTATCAACTATTCCAAGAAAAGAAGACAATAAAAGATAAAGCAGTTTCAATTTAGACAGAAACAACACTAAAAAAATGTTTAATTTGATACTTGGCACTCAAGTCAGCAGCATCTTACGCTGTAGTGTGTAATGAACAGCATATGTGTGGATGTTGTATGCTCGAATCAAACCATCGGCATAAGCAACGTACTGAAACGAGTATAAAGAAATAGCTAGCCATAATAATCCCAAGATAGAGATGGTGTGGAATAAAAGAACACGATTGTTACCAGAACAGGTAGGCGGGGGTGACAAGCAAGGTTGACAATAGGTTTCTTAAGATCTGTCTTTATTTTTGTAGGGGCACTGCCTCCTTCAATAGTGCCAACAACTTCATGCAAAAATAATTCACAATGTTAAACAACCGTTAGGTGAATGGGACTCCAAATTCATACTGCAATATTGATAACAGGAAACACCTGTGACACTCATCCGTTTGTGGAAACCAAAAAATACAACAGGTAAAATGGGTGTCAACGCAAGATGGACTTCAGTATCAGATGAGATATGCTCTGTTCTCTTTTCGGGCGAATGTAGGACAAAGCTCTGTTCGGTGTCAAAATCACAGCACCGAATTGTACAATCCTACAGGAAACGTGAAAAAATAAACAAACATCAGATGATATATGACAAACACAGCCTGATCACCAAGTGCACCGATGCACCGAATACATTTGGATTTAAATTACTACAAAGGCACATCCAAGCAAAAAATTCATGAAATTGGATTCCAAGGGTCCAAATAAGAAAAACAGTACAGAGCTTCTCAAGGATGTTACCCAATGTAAGGAGCCAACTATTTTTTCTCGAATTTCTGAAATGGAAATATCAAGGTTTATAATATAGCCTTTTGAATATTCTACAATAAACAGATTACACTTATCTTCCTTGCTATACTTCTGCAACAGGTAGACAAAAGAATAGTCTCTTACCCCATGGAGAAAAATTTTAATGGAATCATGCTCTCACAAAAAGTGTTCGCATTATAATATGTAACATACATAAACATAAAATAAAGTTGCCAAAAACTCAGTGATTCACAGCTCATTGAAAGATTCAATCACTTTCTACAGGCTAGAACTTAGCTTGGCAATGAACATTAAGTTTATACTTTCAGAGTAAACTGTAGACAGCCATAAAAAATATATTGCAGGCAAAATAAAAAGAGTACCTGATTAAAATCAGAAGTTACTACATGTTTTCCTCTGACTAATACTGTGTTGGATAAATTCATCTCGCTTCTCTGCTCACTTCAAAAATGATTTAGTTTGACAGACTTAACATAGATTTCTTTTTTCCCTCAGCTCATAGCACAATCAAATCGTACAAAGTTGATTTTGTTACAGAGGCTATATCTAGCCAGTGACTTTACTGTGTCTACTATTATTCAAAGGAATTCCTCAACTGTTGAAATTGTAACTTTTTAAAAATAATTTTGTTCTGATTTCCGATGCATCATCTCCAAAACACAGTATCTGCTTCAATCCATCAGGTTAGACTGAGTAGAAGTGAAATATCGATGGCTAATCTCAGATATCCATGTGATTTGCTTTACCATCAAGTGGTGTTTCCAATGTCCAGGGTAGGGTGAGAAACAGAACCAAAAATCATTAAGAGATACACATACTGCAAGTTTCATGTGCAAGGAGTAATGCTTAAAGAAAAATTGCAAAACTATTTTTACAGAAAAATGTAAAATATAAAGTATCAACAAACAGGGTAATAGAGAATAATATTACATAAAAAATTTAAAGAATGAACGCTGATAACTAACCTCAAGAATGGAAATTACAGAATGTCCACTTGTAGGGCTATATGACATGCGAACAACACGTGCACCAACATCAATGGAACAAATCTTACATCCACTAAATGCATCAAACTCTGTGCGAAAGAGTAGCATGTTAGATATTTTCAGAAAAATATTGCAAATGGCATGGTGAACATCAAAATCCCAGCCACCAATCAAACAAGCACATTAAGTCAATCGAAGTTACTTCTCATATCTATGCCCATTCCATTCATTAATCATCCATTAGGTACAAAAGAAAGAAAACACATCCGCAGATATCTCAAAATGAGAAGTTTCAAAGTATCCCAAAACTTGTGTAGGCAAGAAATATGTACACCCAGAAAGATTAGAAGTCATCTAGTTTATTTGCCAAATAATGGCAACCTATGCTGGCATCCCTTCTAGCCGAAATTATCCAAGTCAAACTGAGTCTGACTTGAAAGCTCTAGGAACCAAGTCATCTTATGCCATATCACTCGGGCAAGACTGACGCTTATGAAACGAACAGTACGAGCACGATATGTGTTTTTCGCGTTTTTTTTCATTTGCATGAGTTTTTATGTGCTTTCAGCAGATGGCTCATACGATCACTATTAATCAATAAGGCACATCATAAATTCAGAGAGGACATTGAATCAAGTTATCACGGGCTGAATTTACTCAGGAAATTTTCGAAAATTTTCAGGATTTCTAACATTTTTGCCAAGTCTCCGTCTGCTGGTAAATAACACTTGTCTGGTTTCGTGAGACAATATCACTAAAGAAGAACATATGTTCGTCAGCCAAAGTAATTCACCCCATTCTGAACTGAATTTAATACAAATATCGACATTGATCTCGGTGTCAATAAGCTAGGACTCGCCCGAGAATCAAGATGACCCATAACAACCCACACAGAAGAGAAAAGGCTGCTAAAAGCGAAAAAAGTACCGATGATATGAGTGCCGACGGCGACGGCGATGACGCCTTGTACAGGGTGGAACGCCGCAGCGTGGGGCTGCAGTGCTTTCGACCCCCGGCCGACGTGCCTAAGATCGAGATGATGCACCGACTCCCACTCGATCCCCATCTTTCTTTCCTCCTCTCTCTCGTCCGCCTACCAAAACAACCAAGCTCACGGTGACGACCTCCCCATTCCCTCCTCGCTCCCAACCTTCAGACCAGAGAGGGAGGTTCCTCCACCGCCTCCGGCGCGCTAGATCTCCGTCCGATCCTCCTCCCTCCCTGAGCTACCGAGAAGGTCGAGATCCAGTGGGAAATCAAAATGGGCACTCCTCACACAGTGCGAGTACGTTGTTCTGGCGGAACATGTTTAACTCCGCCGGCTCACCCAGGCAAGTGAGCGGGCCGGGCCGGCTCCATTCCGCCGACCCCCCGGGGACCTCCGCAGGCGTTAAGCTGTTCCCTTCTTGCCAACAAAAGCAGAGATATAAAATAAAATAAATCGCAATTCATTTTTTAAAAGAACTTATTATTTCTCATATTATTATATATATAATTAATAAAAATATTGCCATAATTTATCTTATGGGGGCATATGCAGTTCCCACGCAGACAGCAGCATCTTTCCTTGATAAAGAGGTTGTTCATTGTCAAATAGGTAAAACTTATCTTTATATTGAAAATAATATTTTTTATAAAATAAATATAAATGTTGACTTCTTTTTCTTCTGGGGCTATGCTTGTTCCAACATAGACAAAAACTCTCTTTCCTTGATAAAGAGTTCGTTCATTGTCAAATAATATATTACTTATATTGGAACATATCTTATTTTTATTTTATCCACTTGCTTTGTCACCTAAATACCCATACTTTCTATGTTAATTTAGGTAATATTAGTGAATAATTTAAAAAATAATTATTAATTACAGAAAAAAACATCTTTATTTAGTTTGGAATACCATTTTTTTTTTGTCTTACATGTTAGCTAACTTTACCATCTCAAGACCACATTTTTTCAATAGCCCCTCTATTGGATCTAATTATATTACCAAGGAATTTTGGAGGGGGAGGGGATGAATTGGATAACCATGTATGATGGGTTACTATAGAAATAACATGTTAACTCTATAGATATTTGGGCAAGAGAGTTGTATAACTTATAGTGATTTAATCTTCCTAGCTGACTCCACTATTCAATGTATCTTTTTGGGTTGTGCTATCCATATATAGTACAATTGTTAAACACCAAGTGTCAACCTAACTTCATTAGATTTATGATTATAAAATGCCTCTAATGCGCAACTCTAGATCCAAGACTTCACATACAAAATTATATTAGAACATTAATGCCATTTATTAAGATAATGAGCTTCATATACTTTAGTGCACTCTAAGGAAGATATATGGAGTTATTTATGTATCACTTGCATTCAATAGTCATCTTTTATGTTGTGAGTTTAATGAAATGAGATATTGAGCTTTATATACTTTACTATTTCACAATGTATTTTCCTATATTGAAATATTATATTTGATATATTGACTTGCATATAACTTTCAATTGTTGAGGTCTAAAACTTAGTTTTCATGTGCTAAAATATTAACCTTGATAGACTCTACTATTCCATGATGGAACTTAAATATTAGTTATATCAACTTTGTTGTGGTATGCTAGTTCACAAGATAAACTTAATACACTATATTAGCTTAAATGTATCATGTGATTCTATTAGATAAAGTTGATATGTTAAATATCAAAATTGATGTATGCATGATTCTATAATGTAAACTCCTTATATGCTAATATATTAACTTTGATGTGCTATACTATTCTAAAAAGTAAACTACGTAATATGAAATAATGACATTGATGTATGATCCTTTTATGCAACGTAAAGCTTGATATATGTAAATATAACCCTTGAAATACAATGTTATTCCAACATAAACTTTATATATTGTATTATAAGATATTAATCTTCATGTATTATATTTTTCACAAAATAAACTTTATATATTTAGATATCAATTTTAATGTCATCTTCTATTAACATAAACTTGAGATACTAAAATATTTAGTTTGATGCAATACACCATTATACAACATAAATTTGCTATATTGAAATGTTAACCTTAGTGTATTGTCATTTTTTAAGATAAACTAATGCTTCTAAAATGTTGACCTTGATGTAATATGCTATTAAGATCAAATAACATTTTTATCATCACAAGCCTTTCTTAATGTTAAAACTTATTGGGGGCTTTAAAACTCAACATCTTCCCACTTGTGCCACATTTTAGTAAGTGAACCCCAACTTGATACTCCTATAAGGTAAACCATCCTCATTTGGCCCATCTCATACATAAATAGTGGATCATCACACCAAATAGTACAATCTCCTCTCAATGTAAATTTCTTAACTGGGAAATTGTTCAAACATCCTCCTCTACATGGCCATTTGGGCTCATTATCTCTCTCTCTCTCTCTCTCCTCTCACCTATATAAACTCTCTTAATTTGGACTTAAATCTAATCTTAGGGTTTAACCTTTCTCATCAACATGGTATCAAAGCCCTAGGGTTCTTTCCAACTGCCCCATTGCTATCGTGTTATTGCCATCACCATCATGCTGCGACTGCATCCTCTATGTGCTCTCCTCGCTCTCTTTGCATGCCATTCTCTACTATGTGACGCCATCAACTACGTTATTGAAATCTACTGCTGCTCAGCACATAATCAATGTGCCGACGTGCCCACCCTACCCCCACAGCCCCTTGCCATTGGGGCCCTGATAAATCTTCATTATCATGAGTTAATAATTAGTAAATAATATAGTTTTAGCCTTAACTCATGATAAATAGACTTATATTTGTGTTAAAGAATGATTTTTGGTTTTCAATTGATTAATGTGAATTTTTGGGTAATTATGTGATTTTATACGATTTTTACAATCTTACTTTTGAGATAAATAAATAACAAGAAATAAAAATAAAAATATTGCAACAAAGGGGGGACCCACCAGCTAGTCGGGCCCGCAAGTGGGTCGGAAGCGCAGTCGGGGAGTAAGCCATGAGCAAGGGCTCGAGCGGCTTGGCTTGGGGACCGACAAGGCACGCGTACGCCACTCCCCTTCCACGTCACCAGTGGCCAGCCGGTTGTGGGGCAAGGAGTGGTCATACACGTGAGAGAAGGGACTTTGCACAAAGCTAACATTACTTTATATTCGCCCGAAAAATCGGCGTACAACTGATGTGGGACTAAACCCCCGTCACACCTTCCTCAAAAGAGGCAGGCGACCGGCGCAGGTTCGAATCCTCCCAGAGTCAAAATTCATATATTTTTATCTGATTATCGCGACTTTCTTACAGATCGCCGGTGAAGGATTAAGCAACGAGAATCGCTGGATCATCGGCGAAAATCTCGTCAATGCGATTCGCGGAGCATTGCTACTAAAATTGCTGAACGATTCGCGATAAAAGGATCGCGAATCCATCGAGTAAATCATCTCTGATTGATCGACGAACAAGCCGTCGTCGGGAAGAGGATGATCTGCCGGGAGACTAGTCGCCACCTCTTGAGAGCGTACCAGATGCGATGAAGAGCCTCCTCTTGCTACACGGACCTGAGGATGAAGCTCCCTGACACGTGCCCCACCTCCATCCAGCTCCTCTTCGTCGGGTGACAGTCGCCGGAGAGCCGCAAAGTCGCTATTTTTCCGCTCCGCCGAGTGACAGCCGTCGGAGACGATTCGACGACCCACTTCATTGATCTCTAGACTTCGCGAGAAGATCTAGAGATTGCCCACGTTGTCTTTGTCCAAGGAGAGCCTTAGAGGCTGTGGACACTACACGACGATCCTCCCAAACGCTCAGGATTCCAGTGCATCGCCGGCGCATCGCCGTCACGACGCCGGAACTCTATTTTCCTACTTTCAATTTAATTTATGCTTCATTTAGTGATACTTTGTTGATTTTAATTTACCAAACTATACTTCGTTCAATTACGATTCTTTTGGCTTTTACAGATCTTAATTTGATTAATTGAGTCGTCTATAATCGCCTACGTAAGAATCACCGGGCGGAACTTTATTTCCGCCTGATTCACGTTCACCTGGTGCTGACGTCATCTTGACGTCTACACCCTTATTTCCTTTTTTTGTGAATTTTAAATATAATTCCTTTTTATTTCCTAGTATAAAATTTGTAAGAAAATCATATTCATTGAGAAAAATTCTGAATAATTACCAGATATTATATTACATCCCTGTGATCGACCTAGAAAATTACTGCTATTTTGGAATTTTTATTGAATTATAATTGATATATTTATTTAGAAATACTTCTAAATATCCAAAAATTTGTATTTTCTAGTTTTATAAATTTTATATTTGTGTGATTTAATATACAACGATTGAGTCATGTCAGGCCCCTATTGTTGTGGTTCCTTGCCACCTCGGCTTTTGTTGTCACAACATTTGCTACTGTGACACCTCCCTCATAGTTTATGTTGTTGTGGTATTGATAAGTATTTATTATCATGAGTTAATGATTAGTAAATAAAATAGTTTTAGCCTTAACTCATAATAAATAGACTTATATTTGTGTTAAAGTATGAAAAGTGATTTTCAATTAGTTAATGTAAAATTTTAGGTAATTATGTGATTTTATATGAATTTATATAATTTTTATAGTCTTTTTTTGAGATAAATGAAGAAAAAAAAGAAAAATAAAACTAAAATAAAATAAAGGAGACCTGCCGGCCAGTCGAGCCTACATGTAGGTCAGAAGCACAGAGTCGTACATGTGCTGAAGAGTTGCAAAGTCGTCGTCTTTCCACTCTATTAGGTGATAGTCGTCAAAGATGATTTGACAACTCATTTCATTGATCTCTAGACTTCGCAAGAAGATTTAGAAATTGTCTATGTTGTCCTTGTTTAAGGAGAGTCTTCGAGGCCATGGACACTACACGACGATTCTTCTAAACGCTCAAGACACCACATGATGATCTTTCTGAATGCTTAAGATTCTACACTACACGCCAAACTCTATTCCTTGCTTTCAACTTACTTTTCACTTCATTTAGTAATAATTTGTGTGATTTAAATTTACCAAGATATACTTCATCTA